ATCCGGTACCGATTAACCGCCCCCGGAGGGATGAAAGGCTTGCTTGGCTTAGGCGGATATCAGTCGAACCCGTGACCATGCTTGTGGATAGTGCGCCAGTTGCCACTTCATCACCTCCTCCCCAAAACACTAATGAACCGTGATAAATTCTGATCCAACATAATGAAAAAAACTACAATGTTGAAAAATTCGAGGAAAAACCATACCTGGGTAATCGTATCACAGTCTAGTACTCGAACGGGCATGTCCGGTTGGGTATATGTCATCGAATCAGAAGCAATGAATATCGTCAACTCTTTGTACTCGAACGTTGCACGTAACAGCTTCTCCTCCGACAGAGAATAACTAAAGTAACGTCGCTTTACCATTTCCGATAAACAACCAATACGTTGGACCTAACTATTAATTCAAAGATGTCTATGCGATTGGCAACTAGGCGGGCGGATGCAGAGCGATTACCATGGCTTCGTAGGGTTCATACAATACTGTGAACAAGCTTGTGATCAAGCTTGAAACTTCATCAGACGGCCAACACTTATAACGACGTGATGAGCTTACAATAAGAATACGTTGTGCCCTAATAAAGTCCTGCCCCAAGCTTCACTGACACAGAAACGGGAAAGAAAATCAACGACATAGTCGAGACGAAGAACTAAGCAATTAGTTGAGCTGAATTATCGCTGTGGCCAGTCCAACAATGTGGGCCACATAACCGTCCATTTTTTTTATTAAGGAATCACTCAGTGAAAGAAATGCGCAGTTAAAAAAATCAAAGAAGCCCGAACCCTGCGGCCCATTATCAGAGCATTCCTTTTGGAGTAACTAACTCATCAACATGGACATCGTAAACAGCTACCAATTCGACTCAACACCTGATCTGAAAGTAATAAAGCAACATACCGAGCTTCAAGTGTTATCGCGTCTTGTGGTCCCTTTTCCATTTGTTGCTTTATGCCCCAATAAAGGTCGTAGAGACGCTTGCCGGCGTAATTCTGTAATGTAAATTATTTTAATCCCTACTGTGATTTTTTTCTTGTCGAGAAATATTTGGAACGGCTTTCTACTTACCCTCAAGTAGTCATGCATAAGAAAGGTGAACCATGCCGCCAGCATACGCTCGGCCACACTTTCACTTCGTCGGAAGAGAATTTTCGGCTGAAACTTCTTTTCCACTGTTCGATCAATCAGTTCACGTAAAAGCTGCTTCAACATCTCCGTACAATAGCCCATTTTTTCCTGGAAAGAGCAAAGTGATTATGTACAAAATAGACATTGATTGGATGTGTAGAAAAAGTACCTGGAGCACCACCATCACTAAGGAACCAACGTAAACACGATCCTTCCCGAGAAAGTATTTATTCGCCTCCATCGTTCGTACCATTGTGAGAAAGAAGGTCTGAAGCACCATTCACTTAGTCAATAACTTTTTTATCGTCCATCTAACTGGTAGAAATGAAAAAAATTTTCTTGAACTCAAAACAAT